TTTCACAGTGTTCATGAATCATAAAGCCTTGGAACACGTTCCGTCAGTTTGTTTTCCTTACTACCTACCATTGTTTCTCCTTGTTAGTTGTGAAATTGATCAATATATTAAGTGGATTCTGATGATAAATTGCAGATTGCATACGTGGCATTTGTTGCAATAAACGATTGCCATTTGCTATCATTTGCCGTCAATACCGCAGTAATCAAATGGCATAGTGTCGAAATTTGATAGATCGAAGTAGATATAGTCGCTATTGAACGTTTCGGGAACCCTTAAATTAATTACTTATATTGTAAGGTGTTTTACTTATCTACTTGATCTATATATTTCAAGTGATTTAAAACTCAAAGGATAAATAGTTTCAAAGATTTTTTTTCGTTTTAAAATTCAATTAACAAAAATATTTATACATGATAGAGTAGATCTCGATCGAATGGTGCGGCTTGACTGGGGACCACCCTCTCACAGATTACCAGTGTAAAATAGCAGCATGATGTTATCTTTCGTATGGTGAATAAAAAGAACTCTTTACTTTGTAACGAGGCATTCAATCTTAGTCCTCTGGGGCTAACGTTAATTTCCAAATTGATTCTTAATAGAGAAAAGAGAATATGTCTGTGAAACATCGATCCACTTACCAACAGGTGGATTGTATGCTCTTCTATGAAAACACTAATATTAAGTAGTAAGACACGCACTTCAGTAATAGAACTTTGAATATTAAATAACACAATTTTGCTGCTGTTTTACCAGTTGTCGACGTTGAAGGGAAATTAATATTGAAACTTGCAATTATGTATGAGAAATAACACATTATTTCGAGAACTTTTGCCGTATCGTAATATTCATACCCGAAATGAAACTCTGTTAAACGTATTAATTGTGAACTGCATTTGACTTTAGTATTTATCAAATATGCGATTTCGTTTGTACTCAGCAATGGAATTTTAATAATTACAAAGAGGGTCTAACATAAATTAACATAGAGTATTTTTTATTAGATTTTAAATGCCTTTACACAATATTTAAGCAAATTTTTGTCAAATAATTAAATTAACTGCCAACGAGAACGAATATCATTTTAAAAACGTATTATCTCTAATGTAAAATATAACTTTTTGATTTATTGCTACTAAAGTTTGGTGAATTTCGTAAATAAGAAAAAGATATTTTCAAAAAACCAAATACAGATGCTCATATAAAATAATCCCTAGTTATCGCCCTATTGAAATGTATAAACCTATCACAATAATAAGTTATCAATATTTATTAGTGTTATAAATTATTACTTACATACATACTCGTATATTAATCAATAAAAATCAAAATATTGTATCAATACTTTGGTATTAGAGCTATTAAGACCAAAGCAAAAGACCGGTCACTGCTTTAAAAGCATATAACATAAGAATAAATCTGGTGATCCATATACTAGCTTAATGTCAAAAATGTATCTAAAGATCTTACGATCGTAGGAAGACCGAAAGATCTGACTACTTAAAGATCAAATCTTTTAGAAGGAAAATTGCAATTGAATTGTTCATATTGTGATCTTTTAAAATCCTAAAGAAATGGAATATACTTATCTCGTGGATTGCTAGTTTCAAATTATAAATCAAGGTTGTCTGGTATGCCAAGCAATAATATGATGATAATATTAATAACACGTATTAATATCTAATACTTATAGTAATATATTATATATAGCTAAAGCTACCTTCATAACTTATAGTTACCAAGTTTGCTAGTGAAGTTGTATATGTAACTTATCAAATATAAACTTTATGCGTGTGTTTTATAAATATTTAAATTAGAAAATGTGTTTGATATTCTGTGGATAACATATATTTATGTTAAAAGATCTAATCTATTTCTTGGCAAAAATATCTATGTAAATATACAAAAATTTGCCTTAAAGGATAATTGATTGGAATCGTGAAAACCGTTAAATGAAATTATTAACCTTGTAATAATAGACATAAATATATAAAAGAAAAACGTGGAAGTGTGAGTAGCACAAGACCTAGTGCACATTGCAGTTACTTATATTAACACTGGAATTCATAGTCAAGATAGGGGAAGTCCCATAAGAGAAGATTTTAGCGCCATGTGTCGAATTCAAATTTTAAGTGTTTCTAACACAAAAAGAACCAATTTGACAGAAATCAAAAGTTGATTGCTGATTGCCAAAACTTCTTCAACCTAATAATCTATATTATAACTGCAAATGTTGAAACGTACATCATCTGCACTAAATTTTATTTTTGCTGCCGAACAGAGTCCATAATTTTTACAAAGTTTTAAAATACTATATTAGAAGCACTTTGTAAAATAATTTTCAGTACTGTAATTTTTATCCATGGACATAAAAATATATGTCCGTGATTATTTCAAAGTACTATGTGAAAATATCCAAAGTAATTCTTCAGAAGTATCATTTAAATCTTAATTTATTTCTTCTTCTTCTGATTTACTTACTTACTTACTTATCTTCACGCACAATCCCTGACGGGGTAGCCAGAGAGAACAGATCGCCAAGTGTCACGATCCTTACATTCTTCTGATTTGGCTACTCTAAATGCGGCTCTTTACGTTGGCCAACATTGTGGCGAATGTTGTGGCGAATACCGGTGGTCATCGTGTAGAGCGCTTCACTTGATATGTATTGGAATGATGGCCTACAAGTTGGCGCGAGATCCGTGTGCTGTCGGTTTTTTTACAAAAGATCAAAGGGTTGTGGCAGGGTATTGGCCGCCGCTTCCACTCGTTTCTCGCATGTTTAGTTTGCTATGAGAGCTCCCAGAGTGATCGCACGCACCTGATATAAATTTTATATTCACGCATCGTAACTAGTATCTACAAAATGGCAATACAATGACAAATGAGAAAACTTTTCGCTTTATAGATTTCTACCAAGCCGAAAATTGTTTGTGGAAAACAACAAATAAAATTTCTTTTTTTTTTTCATTTCTTTTTGATCACCCTTTTCTTATACATTCACGTAGTAGCGGTATGCTATTAATAAATAAACTGCAACAGCCATTAGTGCCTCAATATCCATTTTAATAAATTCGTCCGCACATTGGCCTGAATCGAAGCAAACTGAACGACCTTCTAACGTGTGGACGCCATCACAAACTCTTGCCTAATATCTTTGCCAACACATTCGCCACAATGTTGGCCAACGTGAAGAGCTGCCATAAAAATAATTCTGCCAATATGATATTAGTAATGGAAGTGACAGATAAATTATTATAGGTACTTATTTTGGGTATATCACTTTTTGGTGTAGAATACCACATCAAAAACAAAAGATTAAAACGATAATACATGATCTATTACCTCGGTTAGATATATAATATCAGTATTATATATTATTAGTATGTATAATATCACGAAAAACATTTACAAAAGGAGTAAATACTAATGATAACAAGTATACTATATTAGAACGAGAAATGGTTGGGGGCTTACATTTTTGTTTCTATTTTATTAACTGTCAAAGTGATTGCCACAAAGAATTTTCAAGGAAACTATGATTGAATAATAGTTATTATATTACATTGTTAGTCTGCAAGTATTGCGTGTCTACTCTCACTAACGTTTTTATTATTTGTCGAAAACTTAATCAATCGTCTCAAGCAAAATATTATTAACAGTAACAAAGTTTAAATTAAAATTGATATAAAAGTTAATATAAAATTAACATATCCGTAACGTAAGGTATTAGTATTCGTATAACGTTTACAGATAGATTAGATTTTTTACATTACAGAATAAATACAGATTTTTTACATATGGTTTATTATAGCTGTAAGTTTAATTATGTTCCAAATATGCGTTACTCCTATAGGGATAATGTCGTACCCAATAAATTTAGAATTATCTTAAAGGTATTCATTAGCATTGCTGTAAAAGTTAATTAAAATAATTTAAAACGTAAATTTGTTTTTTCTCAAAGTGAATTTGAAATGTATGAAATCACCATTGAGAATTTCTCACACAGCGTTTGGACGCGAAGAGTTTGTTTTGAAATAGTTTCTCTAGTTGGTCTTTAGGTTAAAATCCAGCATGTATGGAATAAAATTTACGATTTAAGCTTGTTAATCAAAAATATTCCTTACATTTGTATATATATTATAGATATAAGTATCAAGATATGTCTTATATACGCAATTTGGAGTGACGTATCGTTAAGTATGACATGTATTTTTTAAGGTGATTGCTAAATTTATTGGGTAATTACAATTTGCGCTTTTTATTGTTTTAATAATGAGTGTTGGTTATGCCATTATGAACTTTATTCCTAAAGACCAAACGTGAGAGTTGCATGCTGTAAAAACTGTTTTTATTTATGCTGCATTTTTTAATATTTCGAGCTTTTTAAGTTTTGGTTTGAAGCGCATGTGTGAGAAAAATGATGTAAGTTTGAGTTTAAGATGTATGAAAATTTTTAATGTTCCTTTTAAGTGCTTTTCCTGTGATTTCATATTTTCATATTTGCTTTGCACTACCCATATCTTCCCAACCAAATGAGCCATGCTCATCACAGTTTGAATTTATTAAAAAAAAAGATATACAGGAATGAAAATTCTGTTAAAAATCGTGAAAAGGTAAGTTTGTTTTTATTAATTGCACAACATTTCCGCCATACACCAACACGAACAAATCTGCAACCACGTTTGGTCTTGAAACAATTATTTATTATGTTTCCTTCAAATCTATAATGCAATCCCTATTAAATTATACGTTTGGTTTAGTTAATATTATATTTGATATATTTTTGTATTTACCAAAATATAGTATGATCCATATAAAAATAAATAAATAAAATATTTTAAAATGATCATGAAGTAAATAAATATTTTAAGACATTGTTGACGCCCAATACCTTTATTATGTATAGACGCATAAGTGTAGAAATACAATAAAACTACATTGATTAGTTTAACCAAAAGATTATTTTTTATTTAGGTATAACTCCATTTATTTAACAGGCGCAAATCATAGATTCGGAACTGACCGCGAAGCTCCTTGGGCGTGGAGTGGCAGTGTCCCCTGTGGTAACAGTAGAGCCCAGGAGGCGAAAGTTCCACAAGGCAATTACTTTAAGTATGCCAGCCCCCCGTCCTCACACGCAGGGAATGACCAACCAGTACAGCACCTCATCAGCGCCAACTCTTCGTTTGCTGTGCTCTATATCAGGTAAACATGTGATGTTTCGCTTCTACGTAAGTAGCCAATCATTATAGTTATTGGAGACGAATAAAAAATCATATATTTCAAACCATTTGGTTGTAGATTTTTTTTATTTGATACATTCGTTTCCGATATCTAAATGGTATTAAAAGTGTTGCAATGGATTATGGCTTATATTCGCTATCATATTAGCTTGGCTATAAGGTAAGTGAGCCTATAAAGTAGGTACAAACAGGCTTTTGAGCACTATACTTTAATGTAAAACTACCATGTAACCTAAAACGACAGTAGCCTAATGGTAGGGTGTGGGCCGCGAATTTACAAGTCGTGGGTTCAAATCCGTTATTCGACTGCTGTTGTGATTCACTCCTAACATAAGCATTTTAAGCTTACCTGGAGTGTTTAATGGTTTTATTAGTAATGTTCTTAGCATAGCTAGTATTTTCTTAAAAGTAAGTATAACCTATATTCCATTACAACACGATAGTGTAGAAGAAGCTCAATTAACGTACAGTCTACTCGTATATTGAATACCTAGTTACATTTTAAACTGACGTCATCGGTAGAGGATAGTCACATTTTAAGCTATAATAGAGTATTGATAGATTGAAAACATCTTTATTGTAATTTATCCTATTACATAGAAAAATTTTCCTCCTTTGTAAATCATAGAGTAGTTAAGGATACATTATCGATTTTAGAGAACTTTATCCAGTTCCTATAGACAAAGGGATGAGCATGATAAACAGAAAATAACTAGCGTAGATATTCATCATATAATTAAGTGATTTACAAAACGAAAATGAACAAATTTTAATAAACACACAAAAAATATGATGCGCTTATGGCAAATACACTACTAACAGCTAAAGGGCTATGTCCCTGTGTGTGCGTTATGTGCGTGTCTACATTGTCTTTGTTCTCGTGTGTTTGTGTGTGTTGCACGCTCACCGTTTATGGAACTAAATTAAACGCGGACCACGTAATGGACGCACACCAACAGGGGTTTTTCGCAAACGATCTCTCGAAGGTAAAAAAATAATAATTTACAAGTAACTTACAGACAGGGTTAATCTCGGTTTTAGTTTCACATTACCTTTTTATTTCGATATTTTAATATTTATTTTCATACGTCATTTCTTTTAGATGTTCCTCCAAGATTCTTTCTGTTCTTATTCAATTGTCATGGTTTTTATTTATTTATTTTTTAATGCTTTTTTCCATTTCTTCTCGCTTCTCATACATATACTTCTCTATGCACGGGCTGAATTATTAATGCTTTCTCAACTCACTATCACTCTGTATCATAATTATGTAGGTGAAAATTCTTGATACATCAAATATGCACTGTGATGATCACTGGTTATTATTGGATTAGAAAGATATGCATATTTACAATGATCTTTTAGATAAATCGGCAATATAATGGCACATAATTAAAACTTTATCACGAAACACAATTTTATCTTCTAACCTTAGTTTAGGTAATTCGTTGCGGTGTCCTCATTGGTTTCATTATCACTTCATATTTCTGCGTCAAAGTCTCTTAAGTTCTGTTAATTTGCTTGTACTAATCAAAGTTTATTTCCAAAACGGCCTATCAGTTTTGTTTCCTTCACATCATCTTTATTTATTTTTATTTTATATTATTTACATCACCAATTAGGTCAGTTGCATTGAGTTATATTTTTTCAGTGTATGTCCTTCGAGAGATCTGTTTTTTGGAAAACCAAACACGTAATTTTGAGAATTCGTTTATGAGATAATATAATCATTGTTTTGTTTATTTAAAAGAATATAAAAACAGAATTAAATTTTAGAAAACAGGTAATAATAACACAATGTGCCACGTCTAATATCACTTTTATTTTCAATGACAAATGTATAAGTATAGTTTCCGTTCTCGTTTCTTTTGTGATGTGTTATTTTGTTTTTGCTTGCTGTGTGTTTGCTATAGGCCGTTTTGGAAACATTTTGTTTCATTTGTCCTTAACTCTCGTTTCGTTACCCCTTTCTTATTGTATTAGTAATATGTACACATTTTTTTTTAAATATTTTAACTTATATTGTACGAAACTGACATTAAACTGTTTATAAACCTGACACACTATATCTATTTGTATGTGAATTGATATACTAAAAATAATGCATTATTAAATTAATGTAATGATGTAGATTTATTTAAATTAATTTTATCAAGACTGCTTGTAGCATGCATATATAGGAAACAGAATTTTGTGGCAGTTGGAACAGCAGAAGACTGCAAATACTGCTATTGAAGCTTTTCTTAATAAATTGCCAATTCTAGTAGAAGCATATACCTTACGTAGCTTTTATTTATTCATAAATTATAAAACGTTTGGACCTGTTATTCTATAACGTCAAATAAAATATGTCAGGTGGAACGAACCGGGCGCACTGGGAAGATGTGACAGAGAACACGCCATTGACTTTCGTCAACGACTGCGTATCTTTCACTACAACAGTCTCAGCACGATATTGGTTGATAGACTGTCGACATATAGAAGATGCTACCAAAATGGCTACTGAATTATATAGGTATGTAAAGAAATATTCATATATAGATGAATTACACACATCTTTTTTGAGGAGTTTTTTTAATAGTCTGTCAAAAGAAAGGGGTTTTTACATAGCTTTGTTATCTGTATTTGTTTAAAACAATGATAATAGACAAAGTTAAGAAAATTAATTTGCATAATATCAAGAACATAAGTTTTCTCAATTTAGATCTATTGAATTGCCAACTAAGACCTGATTTCAGTGATGATGTTAACAGTTGAAATCAATTATAGGGAAGCAATCCACGTGCCATTTATGGCCCGCTTCGTTGTGTACGCAAAACGAACGGACGAAAGCCAAGCACAGCTGCGTATGTTCTGCGTGACCGACGACAAAGAGGACAAAGCGCTGGAGCGAATTGAACGCTTCATACAGGTTGCTAAAAGTCGGGACGTAGAGGTAAGCCCTTCATTACATATACACAAGCAGTTATTACGTTGTTATGTTACTGGCTTAAGTATAAAATTATTTATTTCTTTCTAGTTTATTTTTACCACAACGATGTCTTTTGATCATATAACCTGCAGAGTAATATATCGAACCCTGTTACAGATTAACCAACGTGGCAGCTATTTATGGCTGCAGCACGTATGGATCGGCTTGACCGGGGTAGGACCACACTCTCACAGAATACAAGCGTAAAATAGCAGCGTAATGCTGCTGTTTTTCGTATGGTGAGTGTAGAGAACCGGAGACCCTTTTTACTGGAAACGAGGCATTCCACCTTAGTCCTCACGGGTGTCAACCATTCATAGACGGCCAAAAGGTTTTCCAGACATATGGTAAATGTCTAGAAGTCTGCCGACATCCACGTTGGAATTCAAGGCGGTCACCTCCCCACGTCAGCACCAACAACTTCCTTATTTACCTATTACAAATTATAACTATAGGTTCACGAGGGAAAGCCGGTGTACCTCGAGTTTGGAGGCAATTTGGTACCGGTTGCCAAATCAGGAGAGCAACTATCGATCCCCTTCCGAGCCTTCCGCGAGAACCGAGTCGCCTTTCCCGTGATGATAAAGACTCAAGATTTGGAACCGATTAGCCGTTGCCAATTCATGAGAGACCCGAAGGTTCCTAAAGGAGAACCTTCACCAGCGCCGGTAAGAATCGATAATACTTGTTAGTAATAGGTTTTATAAATATATAATTTGTATTTTTGGACGTTTGTCACTCAGTTACGCTTTATGAATTTTTTTTGATTTACGAAGATATACCTTGGGATGTATATGAGTTTTAACTTTATTTATAAATTTAAGTAACATTCTTAATTTCCCATCATACATATACTTACATCCTTATTGTTTTAGATTGCAGTCTTAAATATCATGGTACCAGATGACATACCAGCTGAAAGAACATCCCCAATACAAGCTGATGCTGTACCTCGCCGTACTGAGGAACAGGAACTAATGTGGAGACAGAGACTTAGTGACCCAAGGTATGAAGTTAATAGATAAACTTAAAAATTATTTTACTATTAAGTATACATTTTGAAAAGTAGTCAAGCACTGGCTTATAAGAAGGGTCCTGAGGGTAATATGGTCACTTTAAGCTTTGTTGCCCTATATAACTAAAACTAGGAGGAAGACAGAGACAAAAACACAAAGTCGTATACTATAACTAATATAATTAGTAAAAAATAGTAAACAATCTTTGGTAATAATTAGAAATATTTTGAAAATTCAACTTATAAAAACTAACTACACTACTCAATACTAAAATCGACTAAAGTATTTACTATAATGTCAACTGTCAAAATGGCGTCGATAAAACAGCGCCCTTTTGACCCTTTATTATTTGATTGACTTATGAAGAGCTATCGTATCACAGAGCCATCTATGCAATCGAGGCTGTTGTTTTTGAGTTATAAGAAAGTGACCATATTAACCGTATGACCATTTTAATCTCACTAATATACTATAGTATAAAAATATAATATATTTCTTTTAAAATATTTAAAGCATTCAAATAACAATGTTTTAATATAAAGCAACTTTTTTTAGATAATGTGATCAAAGTTTTCAGCGTTCTGTATTTTTAATTTCAAGGTTGGAAGACATCTGCAATCTTCTGGGCAAGGACTGGGTGGCCCTAGCTTATGAGCTTGGCGTGAGCGTCGCTACTGTTAACCAAATTCAAGCCAAGCGCATAACGACGGCTGAGCAAGCTCAGCTTATGCTAAAACTGTGGAAGACGCAGTCAGGGACCAAGGCTCTAGGTGCATTATCATACTCTGCTACCTACTTCCATTTGCCCTGATTTTGAATGCTCATCAATTTATAGAACTAAAGTGACAAAAGAACTTACAGTCTACCTGCTATTATTAGTTTTAATAAAATAATATGCGCACAACTGCTATTATTACTTTAAATAAATAAATCTACAGAAGCATTGTCACCTCTGAGGACTAAGATGAAATGCCTTACAGCGTGTATTATACTAATCATACCCTTCATACCGGAACACAGTAGTGCAAACACTACTATTTGGCGGCAGAAATAGAAACTCGATAGTCACATTAGTTCTATACATCGGCCTTTTAGACCTTTTAGATTTACTAACTTATATTTTTATCCTTTTATTCAATCCTTTTCTTTTCAATCTAAAACCAAGAATTTTTATATAATAAAATAATTATATGAGTCATTATATTATATTGTTCTTTTATTATTTACAGATAACTCATTAGAATTAGCTTTATGTCGTATCGGCAGGGACGATATCATAGCTTCACAGTCCGAAGTGACTAACGAAAGGCGTATTCTACGTAATATCTATCAAGAAAGACAAGCCTCCGAAGAAATTGAAGCATACAAAGGTAACCAGTATAAAAAATTATATTGGTTGTTTTTTCTGACCATCATATTGACCACGTTATTTCTACAAATTCATTATTCGATTCTTATAATTATAAACCCAGTGAACACAGCCTGTTCTTAATTTATTTTTAGCTGAAGAAGACAATAAATTAAAGGAAAAAATATTCGATGATAATCAAATATTTGAACGTATGCGAAACGAATCTGAAGTAGATCAGGACGAAGCCAAATACTCGCCCGAAGAAAAATCAATTGTGGACAAAAGCGAAGTTGAAAGGACACCCACCCCTAGCGAGGACAGTGAAGAAGATGAAGGCAAATAAAATATTTTAACAATACAGTAAAATTATGTATGACTTTTGGGTTATAGCGTAAAAGAGAATCTCCACATTTTAATCGAAGTAGTTTAGTAAAAGTAGACTTATATAATTTTTAACAAAATAAATGAAGATTCAAAGAGCGGCCTCCTAAAAATAGTGATTATAGGTAATCCGTTTAATTTGAAAGCAATCGCCAATAAATTAAATGAGTGATAATGGATGCTTAAAATCATATTATTATATTATTTTTAATGTTAAACTCGAACTCGGTCGTTGCCGCTGTTATCAAGAGGGCTCTTTCTATTTTATCTTAGGTATGGCTATTCAGCGAGGAAAAGAAGAAAAGGAAAGGCAGCTAGAGTTTTTGTTATTATACCGCGAGGTCTGTATTTATGATTTAATTTTTTTAATTGTTGCAATTTCAGGCGTAAAACGAAGTGTGGCAGAGAGAAAAGAACAAATAACTAAGAAATTAAGTTCAAGTAAAATACCAGCATCTAAACAAAAGAAAGAAATTCGCGAAGAAATAATTGAAATCAAAACTCAAATAAAACCTGATATAAAAAAGTTTCACGACATTGAACAACAGGTTTATCCCTTTTCTATTATTATTAATACATACATTTGAAACTATTACATGTTCATACCAATAAAGAAAAGACTGAGCACTGTGCACATTTGAAGTAATGCAAAAAGTAAGTTAACCATGCTCAACTTACTCATGTACACATATGTTGCATCAAAAAACAGTTGCAACTAACAATTTAGTTTTAGGTGCATATGCGTGCATCTAGCAGTAAACTTTTATGGGCTGATAAAAAAAGAAGAAAGTTGTTTGCAGGGGTGCATCAAAAAGTAGAGCATGATTTTGCCATCACTTGCAATGTGCGCAACGCTCTGTCTATCTTCTTTTGTTAATCTGAGCAATTATCTTATAATATACTTAATTTAATGCAGGTTAAAGAAAAAGAACCAAAATTAGAAAGAACATGTTCTAAAACGTCTTCAGAGTCAGTAAAAGAGCAAAAAGAAGTTGAAGAGCCTAAAGAAGAGGCAGAAACAAAAGTAGAAGAAATAAAAGTTGAAAGACCTGTAGAACAATTTAGGAAATTTGATCCATCATCCCCAGGTAAACCAACACCTAAACATTTACAAAGACATATAAGAAATGAGTCCATGAGATTTCCATCTGGTGATTTCTCTAATATTACCATTACACCAAGAAAATCTCTTCCTGCCGAGATTGCGGAAACGAAACAGTCATCAGAGAGTAGAGTTGATTCATTGACAAAGGAAATAATATCTCAGAAAGAAATGAATAGTGCAAGGGTTGAAGAGAAATTAGACGATGGTGACAAATCACCAGAATTAGTAATAGACTCTGAAAAAGACATTGCTGAAGCAACTTTAAAAGATAAAATATGCTCATTTGAGTCCAAAATTTTGAAAGAACCTTTAATTGATACTACAAAAACAGTAAAATTGACTAAGGAAGCTCTAAAAAAACATACTTTGGAACAAGATCAAAGCGTAGAATATACACAAGAATTTGTAAGAGAGCAATCAAAGCAGATATCGAGCGATACTCATGGAAAAATTTCAGGAAGAATGACTTTCGAAACCGAAAAACATACTAAGACTGTAAAATCCGTTAAAGAAACCATTCAACATTTTGATTCTAAAATAAAACATGAAGAAAAAACAAAATCTTTCCCTAAAGCCATAAGGACGGACTCTACACTTGTGCAAGTTTCATCTGAAGAAGACAGCGAGTTTTTGAAAAAATCAACAGACTCCGAAACTGAAACTGAATCTCAAACAACTGTTAAAGTTGAAAAGGACAAACTCAGATTAAAAACTAATGTTGAAAAGCGTTTGTTTGATGGCAGAGCTGACGTTGATAATGAACGTAAAATTAAGCCTGAGGATCAAGATCAAGATAAACAAGACCAAAATAAAAAACCGGAAGATGACGACAAAAAGGGTGGTGAAGCTGAGATAATAACAGAAATAAAAAGAGAGAAAGAGTTAACACAAGATTCGCATGATAAGGACAGTGAAGAGGAAGTATCAAAAACTGTAGAACAGAAGGATATTTCGTTTGAAGAACAAAATAAACAAAAGGTAAACTTTACATAAGTAGCTTTATTTCATTTTTAGCTTTTTAAGTAACACAATTTTTCATCTTTAGGTAGAAACTCAACAGTCACTATCAAGCACTAAATCTGAACCAAGCAAGCATACTAAGACAGATTCTCAAGGATCAGACATTCAAGACTTAATTGGGCATAAGATTTCTCAAGACTCTCCCTTACAATCTGCTCTGGATAAGGCAGATTCATTAGCCGATTTACAACAAAGTACTGAAAAAGATGTGAGTTTTATTTCACAGACTGAGTCTAAGGTATTGAATATTCTATTTTATTTTGTAATAACTAGACAATGTGTATGATTTAGCTTGATTGTTTAATCAGCCAGTGATCAGGCGATAGGCTAGCCGTATATAATATAAAATCTATGTTATTTTAAATCTTGATTTATTAGATACAAGTGTTTTTTATACTTTATAGCATTATTATAAGCTGAGAAGCTTTTCATTATACTAACACAGTATAATTACATGCATTTTGTTATAAATTATTAGCTATTCATGCGAAATGGATATAGACTAACGAAATACTTTCTTAAATTGAAATTTTTTTGTCATAAAGCCCAACTATGAGAAAGATGAAAACCATCCAATTGATACTTTACGATCTTATTTAATTTTCTCCAAGTATGAATGCGTCATAGTCTCATCATATAGAATACAGGCGATCTGTAGGAGAATGCTCGTTTTTTCTGGCCCCAGGCTCCCGCTTAATATGAGCCCATTCTGCAGGTCAGCCTGCAGCTTAGGAGCAAATGGATGCTATTGAGTATGCAAGTACCCTTGTGGCTCTATAATGTGTCTTGCTCAGTTAAATATAAAAATAATAATCATCACTGCCATCATAATTATTATCATTTAACATGAAATTGTCATTAAGATAAATAACATTGCCTTATAATTGGTCATTAGTTTATTTCAATACCAGGTATATTCTAAACATAGAAGTGATTCATTAGACGAAGCATCTCAATTCTCGGAATTAGAAGATCAAATCGGAACAAGTCCAGCTCACCGAGCTATTTCAGATAAAGAACCATCAGGCACAATTTCACATAAATTAGAAGATAAGGTTCTTTTCGTTACTGTTTCTGATGTTGCTACTACTAAAAGTAAGGAGCACACTAGAGATTTTTTGAAATCCGAGATAGAATTTTGTACACAACTGCAAACTCATTCTTTAAAATCTAAAGAGGCAGAAAAGGTAAATATCGTTGTAGTTGTTGATAACAGCATATTATGTCGATTGTTATAAATTACAAATAACTTTTTAATTTATTTACTTTTTTAGACTATACCTAAAGAATCACCGGTTATCAGTGCAAAGGCACGACAGTTTATAGAGACTGTACCGGAAGATGATTCTGTGCAAGAATGTTTCTTCTCGAAACGTATTTATTCAGACTCTTTGGAAGATTCAGAAAATACCGATTCTAGACGTCATTCGGAAGCAGAATCTTTAAAATCTGATCAATCGGATATTAAAGCTAAGGTATCCTCATCAGACATTGATGAAAGAGCAGAGTACGAAGAAACAGGGGATTCAGGTAGTGGATTTGGCGATGAAAAGTTTGAAGAAAGTGTTGGCTTCACGGCTATCAAAATAGATCCTAAGGCTCTTGAAAGGGATAGGCTGGATTCTGTTTCTGACAAAGTTGAAGAAGCTGACGTAATATTCAAAAAGATGGTTCCAAAACGTCATTCAAGAACAGAGTCTATTAGTATAACAAAACTAAGCGATTTACAAACGGACGTTGATCAGCTTAAGCCAAAACACGAATTCCAAATGATTGTTACGGAAGCAGAAGAAATAGACAAGTCTTTTGAAAAAGATGAAACGTCTGATAAAATATCATCTGAAAGTAGTAGAGAAGTTGAAATTTCAGATAAAAAATCTTCTGAAGGTATTTCAGACAGAATTACTTCTGAAGACGCTGTAACGGATAAAAAAACATCATCAGAAGAAGAGGCTGCTAAGGAAGGAGAAAAGCTATTAGAACTGGAATCTGATAGGGAATTAAAGGAATTACCAAAGCATTCTGAACAAGGTGACGTTAAGTTACTTGCGCAAAAAGAAGAATGTAGGGGAAAAGGTAACGTTATTATTAAAATTGGTTATGAAATGATAATGTAATATTATATTAAATTGTTAGCTAAACTGTATTATAATTTTTTTTTAATTCATATTATAGTTTAAAATTTATACTATTTTTAATAAATATACACAATAAATTATATTATGCAAATTAGTAAACAATATTATAAGAACAAAAAGCTGACTGTTTTGTTATAAACTATTATCATTGTAATAAGCTTTCGAAAGACTTCTGCCAGACATAGGCTTCTCTCGCTTTAAGGATAATTTTTCTTTGTATATCTTTTAAAGCCGTTCCTTGCTACTGTTCAAGGTAATTTAATTTATATCTGCCGTAAACGAGATCGTTATATCACAATCTATCGGTAGCCATGAGATCTTTCCGGCACTTCCCATTGTTACCACTTACTATTAGAAATATTGGTGGATATCAAAGAAAGAAACACATGATGGAATTTTACATTACCATAAAACAGCTATATCTGGTATATATACGTGGTAGAGCCATGCCGCAGCTGTATTAGTGGTATAGTTGTAGCATGAATGATTCGGCTCGACCCGAGAAGGACCACGCTCTCACAGATACCAGCGTAAAATGGCAGCTTGACACTGCTGTGTTTCACATGGTGAGTGTAGAGAACCGGTGACATTTTACTGGAAAAGGGGCATTCCACCTTAGTCCTCACGGGTGAACATGCATCTGTATTTTGATTCTTTGATCATTGAGGATAAATGTAGATGTCTATTGGCCACAGCAACCACTTACCATCAAGTGGACTGTGTGCTTGTTTGTCACCCTATTCTATATAAAAAACAGGTAAATAAAAGGAGAAATACAATGTATTTATTTATTTTATTTATTATATTGATTTATATAAGTAACTTATTTACTACCCAAAAATAAGCCGTGTTCATATCATTCCAGTAGATACTGAAAAACGTCAATCTGTAACTTCAGTGGGGTCGGGTTCTGTAAGTGAATTACGTTTAGAGGAAAAACGACCATCTGATGCACATAGTCTCACAGAATCCAGAGATTACACTTTCGAAGAGTCTGAGGATGATATAGCTACACAGGGAACTCATGTCGATACAGGAAAAGCGAAAACTGTAAATACGGGTGAAACTGATATTAAAATTATACCTTTGAGTAAGTGTAATAAAATAATTGGTTTAAAACGTATTATTTTAAAAGGTTAAAATAAATTATTTCTGCTTTCTTACTTATAGTCCAACCCAGTGAGCAATCGAAACAAGCAAAATTAAGTCACGGTGACTCGTTAGATGATGTAGAAGGATTTCCTGAAGACCATACTGAATATGTACATAAGTTACCATATATATCAGAAACAGGGTAGGTAAAAAATTTAATAATTCCTGGTATGATATTTTATCCAAGATTAAATTATTTTGTCGTATTTTAGGTTACAAATGGATAGAAATATTGTTAGAGATTTCTTAAGTAAGGAACGCGACGAACAATTACAACCTGAGAGTACACAAGTTTCTTTAAAAACTGTTACTAAAATATTTCAACCCGAAAAACAAAAAGTTTTAACAGAAACCAAAACAGATTCAGTGGAAGAAAACACTCCCATATCTCATACTGTTGAGGTAACAACTGAAACTAGACATACAACTTCGACATCTGTATCAAATGTAACTGAAAGTAAGTTTGATGTAAGTAAAATTAGAACAGACACGCTGGGAAAGTTTGACTTCTTAAGTGAAACAGAAGATAGTAAACCAGATATACAGATTTTGTCGGAAGAGACAAGTTTAGATAAAATAGCTGACATGACGAAAGAAAAAATAAAACCAGTTATAGATGATATATTACATAAAGGATCCATTATAGCTTCGGCTAAAAGTCCGGTTCTAGATAATGATATAAAAACAATTACTAGGGAAATAGTTGAGTCAGAGAAACGGTCTTATGATGCTAAGGTGCCACAAAAAGAGGAAAGAAGACATTCTTGTATTAGTCCAGCTATTTCACTTGAAAGAATAGCTGAGTCAGAAGTTGAAACAGAGGAAGAAGCGGTCAAGACAAAAGACGAACCAACTGTTAAGTTTAAAGAAGATTTTATCAAAGCTGAAATAAAAAAGTCAGATTCCGCAATGAAACAAATGGCTGATAATATAGAAATTATTATTAAGCAGGCGTCTGAAGATGTGGATCTTTCATTGGAAGAACTGGACATTGAAGAGCCTGCCACTGAAAAATCCGAATTACAAGACCTTAATGGCAAAGTTTCTGTAGACTCTATTATCGAAGAAGCAGTAACAACCGTTGGAGAATATTTAGAAACAAAGAAAGATACAGTTCAAGAAGGGAAAACGGGTGCGGAAAGTCTTGGAGACGAGACTAAAAAGACTGTTAAAGATCGGCCAAGTTTGATGAAATCTCTCTCAAGAGATAGTGGTGAAATAGTTATTATGCCAAAAAAGAAGCATGTGAGAACATTTTCTGTCCAGAGTTCTCCAGATGAAGTTGAGGAGCAGATCTATACAGATTCGGAATCAGGTATTTTTTTAAAGTTCCTTATTTATGGAACTTATGAACTATTTCAATGAGTTTTTATTTATAATAATAGTATGCTTTTTATATTAAATATAATATTCGGACAGTAATCAGAATAAGGTGCTCGCTACCAAGCTTTTTATAATATGTTTTATGTAGTTAATTGTGTAACATAATCCATAATTGTAAACCGTTATTTTTTCTAAAAGTGTCCCGCTGGTTTTCTTTGTGGTTCCTCCCAGTACTGTGGTATTTTCCGAAAAAGTTTTAAATTAAACATAAGAATGACTTTCAGTAAATATTATTTATAATCTAATCTCTATATTGAATATATCTTATCTTGAATACATCTTATTACAACATGCTCATTTATATATTTTAGTTTTCTTTTTTGTTAAAGATATGGACAAAGCAAAAGTATTAGAAATAATAGAACCGACTTCCGACGTAGATGGCAAAGCTCCTGTTTCAAGTTATGATGCGAGAAAGCTAAGAACTGATTCTCTCGATGACGCTGATGATATTCCAGAAAAGGAGGTAATTTTTTAAATTAAATTAATAAAATAAAATGTATAATAAGCCACCACACGAAACTAAATTAAATTAAGTTCTAGCATCTTGAAAAGTGACTTAAAACAACATGTTAAGAACAAATTTTAAATCCGACACTGTACCCATATCCCTTTCACTGTATACAGATTAGGCCTACCGCCCAGCTCTTATAAGAGAAAACGTGACGATATAAAAATATTTTATAATAAGGGTTCGAGCTTTAAATAACAGTAAAGAGAAAGTGCGATCCCAATCCTTAGTCCGTTTTTTTTTGTAATACTCGTTCAGACAGACTGATATACAGAGCTAAAGTATCAAAAAGTTGTTATTTTATCGGTAGTCTAGTATTCCAAGCTTTTGTATTAAGGCCGTTGTTTAAAATAATTGTCAACTTTGAGTGAAACATGCTATTGTATACTCAAGGTACTTTAAAAGTAAATATATATACCTGAAAGGAAAGTACTACTTACCCTTCAAGGACCGACTTTTAATTACCCAAAAATTTTACTTCCTTTTAGATTTGTGTTAGTTGGGCAATCGTAGGCAGTTCTTCCCGAAACTGCTTTCACTGTGAGAATTTCGTAACTTAGAATCTGCTGTCAATATCAAAGAATCTCTCTTTTTTAAGTGGTTTAAAAAAGGAGGTTCTGTAATCGACTCCTATCGAGTACGTTTATAGTAAGCGATTTTTAAAAACTAAAGAACCTGTTTTGCAGTTACGCTACATATTTAGTTTTAGAAAAATATTGGTGTACACTATAACGTGATTCATATTATATACAAAGATATGAAACTGATAAAAACATATTTCATCAAATCCCATGATGGTCTAGATCTTATACGTGACGTAGTTTACTGTGAAGGGCCACCATGTCTACCGTATAATGGGTGCAATGCGCGCAACATTTGCACAAATGAACACTCATTTTGATAATAAAGTTTTATCATTTGAACTTGCTGTTCAATCGTGTTACTTGCCTTGGTGATTTGGTATAAGTAACTAAATAATAAACAAAAGATTTGATAGATGTCACCAAAACAAAATGGCCGCAACGGGCTGCCAAAATCTACCCGCGCCAACTGGAAAACCCTTCACATATTTAGTTTTTATTTTGATTATATTAAAAATAAGTATTAAAAAGGGTTATCTTTATCTGTAAAAATTGTGAAATTTAATGGCTGTAGAGCACGCCTCATGAGCGTTTCATTTAATTTTGATAAGAAAAATTGTATTCCTGACTTTTAAAATATACTATTTACATGTTTTAAAGTTTGCGCTCTATTATTTTAACAGATAGTATCACCTACAAGGAAAAATAATAATAATGTTCACCAAATAAATCGATTACACAAAGTATAAAATCGATATAGGCTGTCTGGTACATTTGCTATTTGTTTGTAAGGGCTAAAAAATATGAAGGTGCCTTGAAATTCTTAATAGCAATAAAATTTGAAAATCATTTTATTACTAAACTACGCGTACTAGGCTATTGATATTAGGGAACCAGTTCTGAAGCTAACAAAAAAACCCGGGCTCGATACGTCAATTTTTCGGGAGTTATCGTGACTACATACAAAATCAACATACACGTGAATTTTTTTTCTGCTGATTGTAATTCCACTGCTGGTTTTACGTTTAAATATTTTCATGATTTTTAATGAAATTATCATTTCATTTAGCTGTACTAACATGATGGAGCGTGAATAAAGTTAATAAAACGTTGTGAAAAGATGGCTTTTTTTCCTCGGGATCGTTTTTCTTTCTGACCGATCATCAAAGGTATCGTTAGTACTATCGTCTGTCTTCGTTTTCGGGAGCGTTCCACAAACATCCTATACATTTTTGTTTTGAATTTGATTATCAACATAGGCTGCTTGCTGTCATACAATATGCAGATTGGTCGAGAGACTGATTCGAGTCTGTATCCGAGTTGTCGCAGTGTAGTTTCGTAGTGATAAACGATTTTTTTGTTTGGGCAGATTTCCCACCGCAAAAAGGGTGGCATACTGTTCAGTATATGGATAAAATGCCCGTGTTGCTCTATTTAAAAATATTTATTTATTTCCGTGATTGTTCCAGATTGAGTATTTTACAGATGAAGATAAATTTATCGGGCGTATATCAGGATCGCTTGACCCCATCAAAGATGATATTAAAAGCGAAATCTCTAGTACTAGTCCTGGGAGTAGCAGTATTATACAATTAGACACAGATGGAGAAAAAGCAATTGGAAAAATTGTTAAGAAAACACAGTTCGTAGATAGTATATTACGAGCAGATTTCGTATCTAAGTCGACAACCGAATCTTCTATAACCACTGTTATTTCAACTTTAACTAAATCTTCAGATGATGATCGAAAGTCAGTGATAGAAGATGGTACATCAACTGATTTCTCTAAAATGAGTGGTGCAGATTTAGTCAAAGATCCATCAAAAACATCTTTAGAAACTAAAGATGACTATAAAGTTGAAGAAAATTTAGAGGATCGGGTATATACACCGGATTTGTCTAAAAAATCCATCGATTTAACTAAAGATTATTCTAAATCTTCAATTGATAGTAAGGACACATCGAGAGATTTTGCTACTAACGAACTATCTAAGGATTCTACTGGAGATTTAACGAAAGATTTTTCAAAGGCATCGATTGAAAGTGTTAAGGAATCTTCAAAATCAATCGATGAAAAGACGTTTTCAGAAGACCATTCCTCATTTGATGTATCTAAAACATTAGCATCGGATGCTTCTGAAGGTATAACTATTAGCAAAGAGTTCTTAGAAGAAGAGAGATCAGTGTCTAAGATTAATAAAATTTCCACAAGTTCTTCACAAGGAACCTCTATATTGACCGAAAGTAAAATAGGCAGTGAACATGAGTCATTTAGTAAAACAAAAACCTTAGACAAAATAGATACTAATGATGCTGACAAAAAAATTAATGAACAGTTACAACAAAGGCACGAAGATGATAGGAATGAAGTCAATACACAAGAAAAAGGTGATCAAAAAGTATTAGTCACTAAAATTATACAAGGTACAACTAAGGTTAAGGATGAGACAAGCAAGAATGATGAGGATGTATCTGACATGAAAGAACTCAATCGAAGATGTTCTAGTCTGCTTGAAGAAATATCATCACAGGGCGCTATAATCAGAATTGATTCTAGCTATGTGAAGCATGGTAAGTGATAAAACATAAATTAGTTTAACTACATGATTTTGCAACTTCGATTCTTATTCAGATTTCTAGTATAGTAAGTGTGCACGTATGTTGTATGTCTGTTTAATTTGTGAATGAGCTCTGAGATGCTTAAAATATTTTTAATTATTATTTTATTGCTTGTTTTATATACGGAACATAATTGATGTAACTCCGATGATCATTTACTCGCTATTGTATTACAGACCTATCGTCAAAGTTCTCCAAAACACCACCACCATCTCCGGTCGATTTAATTTTGAAAGACAAAGCTAAAAACGATGTCGGTCCTGGCGAGAAGCATACCGGGATGCAACTAAAAGGTATATACATACCGAACGACCTTGTATATAAAATTAGAGTAAATGTAAAAACTTTATTGAAAATTTCTTGACTATAGTGCAATCTTGCTATTCACAAACCCTTAAAAAAGCCTATGCATCCTATTCAACTATAGAATATAAGTAAAAAAGTAGATACGCATTTTAATGAAAATTTTATAACCAGGTTCCGAAACTTCGTTACTGGACGCAAACAGACAGTCTCCCCGAGCTTCTTCTGCGGGAGATAGTTTATTAAGTGAAACAGAAGCACATCAAAGTGGTCAGTATTTCAATCTCTAAGAAAACTATTTTATACACCATACATTATTTTTCTTTATTTATCTACATATATAAATAGGCTTATACAGGAAATGAACAGTAGTGAAATAAGAACAATTTGCAATCACTATATTATATACCGTACATGATGGTCTTAGCCTATGTATAGTAATAGATATGAAAGCCATTACAACTTCCTAGCGCTTATCATAGATGACTCTTATGACACCCATTAGAAGAAATGACACTGCTGTTCTTATGACAAGAAAATATTTAAATCTTTATATAAGTAAGGTTTTTATGTGCAATATAAAATGAAGATTTCAGGAATTTTCATATTAATTTCAGATAATATAGTATATTTCTTGGATGTTATTTATTTATATTTTAAAATTAATTCAAATATATATAAACATCTCTATATTTCTAAGCATTAATTAAGAAAAAATCAGCTTGTTTCACAGTAAAGTAGTGGCAAGTAGAGTCATAGCGAAACTTTACTCTTAGTTTTTATAAACATGGTAATGTAAATCCTTGTTTGCCACGCTATTTATTTTATGCTAATTTAAGCATGTATTTTTCATTTACACCTAGCCCTTAAAGAAAAAAGTATAGTACATAAAATTACATCAAAAAGTTTAAAAAATTTTCAAAATATTAAGTAAAGTTCAATAATGCTACGTAGATTTAGTCATCTGGGATGATAAACATTGACTTATTTGCGAATTTCACAAATATTTTGGCCAAAATTTATCAGCACAGTAAATTTTACTTTCTTTCTTGCGGAGCCCTTACGTTGCTTTAGGTAAGTGAACCTACGGCAGAAATGACGCATCATCCGTTTATTATTGCTTACGATTAATTTCCAACACTAATTGTCTTTAATTTGATGCCGTTTTTTGTTTAAACATCTTATTAATATTCACTTTTGAGTAACGTTTCGCTTTGATTCAACGTTCTTCTTCATTTAGTTCACCATTTTGCTTATCACATAAGCTTAAACCACTATCATATCATTACTTCTTTATGGTACGTCCATATAATTTAAAAAATTATGCTTCCATCACCCATGTTGTTCCTTTTCATATAAGTGATTATTTAATTTCTAAGATTTTGTTACAAATTCCCATATAAAGGTTATTTTCTTTTACAATATTTTAAACTTGCAAATGTATGTTTATGTAACTATTTTAACGAGGAAAAGAAACAATTTTATAATGAAATATTTCAAATAAAAAAAAATATCTTAAGCCCATGTTTTGTTTTTATTACAGAATTATTAACTAAAGCGTCGAGCGTACACAGTACAGCCGCCAGACCCAAATCTCCGACAAAACATGAAAACCTTTCGTTTGTAAACATTGACCCACCAACTCTAACAAGTGGAGCAATTGAGCTTGTTGACCGTACTATAGAAAAAAGTATGGATGTAATTAATCAAATAAAAGAAGAGCAGCAAGCCGTCAAAATGGAAGGGATGCAAAAAATAATTCCATCAGACAATTTTTTTTCTAAATCAGTTATCGAAACGTCAACATCGTCCTCGTCTGTTCATAAAACTGTTGAAGGTGCCGAGCTAAAGTTTCAAAGCATTGACCCTAAAGCTATTATGACGGACATGGTTGCTAAACTTGGAACAACACAGGAAGATTTTAGTACTATATTGTCACATAAAAAAACTGAAACAAGAAAAATATCAGGCCAAGAATTTTATTTCGAAACAAAACATGTTTCGTCCTCTGATGATGACTCGCTCGTAATAAAAACTGAAACCAAGCATGAATTACGTGGACAAGAACATGAGGTGAAAGAAAAATCTATAGTAAGGAAAGATGGCGATCAAACAGAATCATCAGAAAAAAAGTTAGAAAAAGCACATGAAGCCACTGCTAAAAGATCAGATGTGGAAACAAAAATAGTTTGTAAAAGTACAGATGATACTGATGTTATAAAAGTAGAAAGAGAATTTACTGAACAAGGCCTTTACAGTGGGCGGCAATCAAAATCAGAAGAGAAAATGACTGCAATTAAAGATGAAACCGTAAAAAAGAAGCAAGATATTAAAATTTCTGAACGAGAAATGTCTCATGAACAATGGGGTAAAGAGTATTTTACTGAACCCGGTGAATTACAAGATATTCAGGAAAGTGAAAATAAATCGAGAATAGCATTTGTAGATTCATCATTAAAAATTGTAGAAAAAGATGAAATTGTTTCTACCACAGAAATATCCGAAAAAGGCAAAGTAGTCAGTTCAAAGATGGAACATCATAAAGAAGAATCAATTATTGAAAGCAAAGAGCATGATGATCTTAGCTCAGATGCTTCGCATGCACCAAGTTTTAAGAGCGACTCGGCTGGAAAAAAAGACTCATCTGATATGAGTCCTAAAAGTAAATCAAAATCTTTTAAAAAAGACGACGAAGTGTATGAAGTAGATTTTATAAAAGAAATCAAAGTGTCTACATCACCAGTAAAAAGTTCTTTTAGTCGAACAGGAAGCCAAGATACTCATTCAGAATCTGAAATAGTACCCGATTTACCTCATGATGATAAAACAAGTGAGACACCGAAAAAGGAAAAATCAAGTAGATCGCCTATAAAGCTACAACAAAATCAAATACAAGACCAGGTATTGGAAGTATCAATTCACAAGGCAGATTCTTTTGTAATGGGTGATATTGAACCACATTCTACTAAAGTTAAACGTATTATAGACGAATCCAGTTCTACTGTGATTCAAAGCGCTAAAAGTGAAACAACACTAGAAGTAAAACCTACCGTTGAAATAGAAAGCGATATATCAATGGCATCTGTACAAATGGATGTATTAACAAATGTTATTGAAACAGATAAAGTTGAATCGGAAAATTCAATGGCCACAACCAAAGACTTGATGATTAAATCTAATGAAAGCGTCGATACTGAATACATGATTAAATCTTTAGAGTCTCACGAAGGCGAAATTTTGCAAAAATCAATGGATTCCACAGTAAGTGTTGAGACACTCCAACCATCAGAATTATCAACTGAAGCAGATTCTGCTTATTTAACTGGAACAGACCACAAAAAGGAAGAAATCAAACTAGTGAAAGAAAAAAGTCTTGAAGATATATGTAGCAGTGGATATGACACTGATTTCTCTTCTGCCGAGTTTCATGCGATGAAACTTGAAACGGAAAAGGTTGATTTTGACTCTTTGATTTCTGCTCAGCCTCTTGCTGACTTGTCAGTTTTAGAAAAAACTATTGATGAAGTCAAGCAGTCTCTTGAAGCAGCGCAAGTAGAAATTATAAGTGAAAAAAATGATGGTAGTAGCAAATATAAGCAATCTCCATCTGAGTTCCAATTTAAAATCCTGATTAGTCCAGATAAACCGGAAGTTATAACTGAGGAACCACACTATACGGATGACATATTTAACAAATGTGTCACCTCTGTTGATAAAGAGGAAATATTATCAGATACTCAAATATCTTACAGTGGCTCTCATAAAGTAACTTCTCAGGAAGAGACTACTTCAGATGAAAATAAAAGCACTGTACAAATTAAAGAATCAAGTCCACCATTGGATACTGGTGACTTGTCCCTTAAATCCGATAGTGGACCCCATTCAATTTTAGAAACTGAAAGTGAAATAGGACTTTCTGATCGTGATGGGTCATCAAAAGGCAGTCCTGAAGTGAAGTTACGAGTTCACAAACACATAACATCTAAATTGGGCATTGTAGAAAGACGTTCAGCATCCGAGCTTGAAGGTTGGTCTAGTTCAGGTGAAAGTCACTATCACAGTTTCGACCACACTGAAAGTAGACCTTTGTCGTCTGATGTTGAGGCAATGCTTACAGCACAAAGTGGAACTGAATTTGAAACCGCGCTTACAAGCCACGATATATCTTCTCAGTCACTTAGAACTTCCAAGGATTATTTTACAGCTGGGAGTTCCCTTGCTTCAAGAGACAGCATGAAAAGTCTTGACTCAGATGGATCAAGTCATGTAGCCAGCATTGACATTTCGGATGCTTCGGAAACTCTTGTACCTTCAGCTAACGAATTAAAAGAGGAACTGATGGAGAGCAGTACCTACGTAGAACAATTTCTTCATGAAGTTGATAAAGAGCAATCTTGTAAAGCAAAAGATATGAGTGATGATGAGGTGTCAGGTGAAGATGAAGAAAATAAAATCGACAGTAGCGAACCAGTCGGAAAAATGAAAAGATCACATGAAATGCGTTTTCAACCAAAAGAAATGATTCCGGAACATTTTCCATTAGAAGGAACTTCCGAAACTAATGAACTAGACGATGATTCAATTAAAGATAAAGAAGGTGCTGATACTACAATTTCATGTCAACTAAATACTGATGAGATTTTATCATCGTCTATTTCCAAAATAGATGAAACTTCAACACAATCACAAACTGAAATAGAAAAAGTAGTAATATTTGAGGAAGAAAATATTGCAAAAGATTTGATTAGAAAAGAAGAAGCCATACCATTTGCTGTTACTAAAATAGACAAATCTCAAAGGGAATTGGTGGATGTTGACAGTCAAATAATTCCTGTGGGATCTGCAGAATATAAAGAGATTAATAAGTTTGATTGTGTTCTCACGCAAAAGGTACAAAGCGGAATGGAAGATGCCATCACTAAGACTGATATTAAAACTGAGGAAAATTTATCGAAGGCAAAGTTAGAAGAAACAGAAATTACAGAAGAATGCATTAAAAGAAATATACAAGATGTGAGTGCAATACCGTTTCCAATAACTGAAAGACCACCAAGTAAAAGGGAATTCGTTGATGTTGAAACTGAAATAATACCATTAGGGACGAAACAATATGAAGAAATATCAAAATCAAAAAGTGACTCTTCAGTTCCTAAAACTAAAGCAGAAAAATCTAATGAAGTAATATCTGAATCTCAATTAGAAAGCAAACAGAGTTCTACATCTAGCTTAAAAACTCACGATCACATATCGACTCCTCATACACCACTATCTGTACCAAGCCAAAGTTCATTATCTACGGAGAATGGTCGGGAGTATGTTTTAGATGATATTTATGATATTTCTGAAACACCAGAGTTGAAGTCTGATTTTGCTACCGATAGTAGTCGTTCAGAATTGATGGTAACAACAGAAGAAAAAACCTTACGAACGTATGAGAAAGAACAAGAATCACCGACTAGTGATGAGTTTGAAATAGTTGATAAACCGAGCGAAATGGATGATTTTGTAGTAATAGAGGAAGTTGCTAAGGAAGCTCAAGAGACAGATCCTGAAGGTAAGAGTGTGAAAATAATGGCTCAGAAATATGTAAAAAAACATGATGATGAAGTTGAAGAATACTTGTCTAAAACTTCAAAGAAACAAGACAGCAGTAGTACTTCAGGTTCCTTATCTGACGAGGAATTACTTCAGTATGAAATTGAACAAAAAAAATTACAAGCTCAAGAATTAGCTGAAATTGAAGCTGGTAAACGCTGGATACAAATGCAGTTTGAAGGAGATCCTAGGTATGATTACGAAAGAATTCCGTTAGAAGATATCAAAGAAGAAGAAATGACTGATTTCGATGCAAGTAGAATTGGAAGTTTGAGCTCGCAAAAAGAATCTATTGGAAGTTATGGTAGTTTTAGGAATTCTTATGGGAGCTTATCAGAATCCGAAATGGCATCTCGCATACGATTTAGAGTACGCGGTGAAAATGACGATATATCTATAAGTTCATTGCAAGAATTTGAAAATCTAGAGAGGGCTTTAATGGAGCAGTACCAGCAATATTCTTCATCGTCTCAAGATTCATTAAATGGATCTTTACCGAGACGATATATCCTAAGCAGAAGTCAAGGAGATGATGTTTCCGTTTCAAGTCTTAAAGAGTTTGAAGGATTAGAGTCAGCCTGTTTAGAAGCATTAAAAGCGGAGATACTTGCAAAACAAAAAGAAGCACTGTTACAAGCTGATCCTAAAGTAGCAACGGGTAGTTTCTTAGAACAAGAAAAACGTTCTTACAGCAGTAGTTCTGAAAGTAGTCCACCACTTAAAGGAGGCAGTCCGGGGCAAAAATCTGGTAGTCCGTCTCAAAAAGGAGGAAGTCCATTACAAAAAGTAGGTAGTTACGGTAGTCCGTCGCAACGTTTGTTAGCTGATTCAGCAGCGATAAGGAAACTTATAGACCAACAAATTGCATTGGAACAAAGAATTCAAGAGCAAATCACACCTAAAATTGTTACAGTAAAGAAATTTGATGAACGTGGAGCATTTTTTGTAGCAGAGCCAGAACTAGAAATTTCAGAAAATAAAAAAACTGATTCAGATGAAGAATGTAAGAAATCTGAAGCCTTCGTATGTGCCGCAGCTCCAAGTGAGGGGTCAGTAGAGTCTATACCGGGGGATTGTGAAGAGATGATGAAAATTTTGGATCAAGAAGAAAAGGCCAAGCGCCAACAACAACAACTTCAAGCAATTTCTAGAACATTCTCAGAAAGTGGTGGTGTAATTGAAGTAGTTAGAACTACTACAGTCATACAGCAAAAATTCGTTGATGGGAAAAAAGTTTCAGAAAAGATAACGAGTACGGATAATGATGGCGCTGTTGACATTCCTTCAAGATCAACACAGTATGAGGATTGCTGCATATCTTTAGGATCAGAAATGTCTTCATCACTGGCTTCCCAGCCTTCAGAAATGGACAGCTTGATGACAGTAATGGAGAGGCATTCTGATGGCGAAATTGTGACAGTTACAAAACAAACTTTAATAACATCTTCGGAAAAGCCGGAAGACTTGGATTTCTCTCGTGAATCAAGCGCTATACGTGAGCTATCGCCCTCCTCTGGGAGATCGGTAGCTCACAGCATCGCGTCTTTCTCCGGAAAACATTTTACAGATCCCGCTAGTGGTTCGTGGAGCTGTCAAGATGAGGAGCTAAGTTCTTCTGGAAGCTTTAGCAGGTCAGCATTATGAAATATTTATATATTTCTTAACTTGTGATGACGTCTTGGTGCAACTCAACAAAACAAAATAAAGATTACAAATTCGCTCGCACAAATAGCATAGCATTATTCAATCACAAAAATCATTCGTAAATTGCAAATGATTGTGATTTTGATATTATGTTATTAAGAAGTTAATAAATAGTCTCTTGCATCAAAGCCAACTCGAATATCTCATGTTATTGATTGTTAAGAGAAAGAGACGCTCAGAGAAAAAAATTAAAGAAATAAATATATTAAGTTTGGCCTGTCAGAAAATTTAATGTATGTTCACAAAAACAAAAGTAGTTTTGATAAAAAAGTGATATGCACTCTGTAACTCCTTTACACAAGTACACAAGTAACACAAGCTGATGATACCAGTTTCTAGACTCGGAATTAGTAATTCATTCATGGGGCAATGTGTTATTTTAGTATAATTAATACGCTATTATAACACAGTCCCAGAAAACATACAAAGTCTCTATTATCAAGTCTTAAACAAAAACTATATAAAAATGTTTTTTATTATATACGTGAATACATGGTTTTAAAGTTGGAAAAATTTACTTTGCCAATATCCGCTCAATAAAATAAAAAGATGTGTCTTACCTGGTTTAAAGAGCACCTCCCACCCCCTCTCAATTGCATGCAATATCGACGTCACCACTACTCCCACCACCACAACACTAGGAAAGACACACCACCGACGATAATGCGACACGTGTTTCACCTCTACACGAGGCATATTCAGGTGTAGTAGACTCTGTGGTGGCGATCAGCCACCGGGTGAGTGGATATTGGCAAAGTAAATTTTTCCAACCTTAATATAATATATATCCACAAAGTAACGCTTGTTTCTATCACGAATACATGGTTGATAATAACCCCTGGAAATGACCTTCGTGTTCACTACCATCATATTATGATATATAGTAAAATTACCGAAATAAATATAGATGTTTTTTTATTAAGTGATATTATATTTTCTCTTTCATCTCATCCTTCCATAAACATATCTTACAAGTAGACTTCCTACTACTACTTTTTTTATTTTTATATTCATTTTATGTGAATGGTTACTGAGCAAAATGCATGTACATATTATGTAAATACAGGAAATGTGCTTTAATGAGATATCAAGTTTGGTTTCTCTGTACATTTACGAAAATTTAATGTATGTACAGAAAAATAAAATAGTTTTATTAATAATTGCATACTCGTAAACCACTTTTTTCTAGCAATTGAAATCAACAGCATTTTTACCAGCATTTTCTTACACTAAATAATAAAAAAATAGTCTGTCTTACATAGTACAGATTATACAGTAAGGATAAATAATACTATATTGAAAGTCATTCATACGTTTAATACCGAACTAGTGGTGATAGGAAAATACCACTGTCTTGGGAAGAACCAACCAGAAACACAGCGGAATATCTTATTTTTGAAAAGAACAGGTTACAGCCATCTAACATTCTATTATGCCATTAACTACACTTACCAAATTAGAAATAGCTTGGTAGCGATCACCGAATTCCCAGGGGTTATTCATCCATAAATTCATTAATCTATTCTATCATCTAAAGCGTCTGTCTGTAATATTGAAATAACTGGCTAATTAAGCTTGGAGTTGGGCTATATAAATAACCATTTTTTAAATTTTTGTCTGCCTGTCTTTCTGCCTGTCTGTCTGTCTGTTCGGACTAATCTTCGGAATGGCTGAACCACTTGTAATGAAACTTTTAAGACAGATAGAGAACAATGCTAGGAAGAATTTAGGTTATGTATTTTATACGAAAAACTTGAAGATTGTATTTAAAGTAAAAATTTGATAAAAGCAAAGACCGTCTTAAATTTAAAAAACTCCACACTTATAGATCAGATCCAGGCGAAGTACTGGCGGGTCGCTAGTGCCATAATAACCCTTTTTATACAATCTTTATTTCATAAAGTTTTTGACTTTTACGGTGGACAAATTTTGTATATTTTCCGGGATTTTGTTGTAAAAGCATATAATAGCCACAGTAATGAATTACCAACTCTGGATCTTAGATTATTGAGAGTAAATAATCTAAGTTTAGAATTCGCCTTAAAGACACCAATGTTGTAGTTTTATATTTCAGGGAGAAACTTAAAACACACTCGAAAAAAACGAGCTTGTACGGAACCTTCAGTACTACGCGTGTCGGATTCGGACTTGTCCGGTTTTTTAAACCTTGATATTTTGTGTACATACATTACATTTTTGTACACAAGCCAAACTGAATATATACCAAATTCCTTAATCAATTTATAGGCTGTTATCGTTTATTTTCTGTACGTTAGAGGGGCCCGTGCAGATCTGATGCTGGGTAGTACCGATAGCCTTGAAGCGACAAGTTCGAATGCAACAAGGGCCACTTTCAATTATGAAGTGGACACGCCGATGACTGGAAGTCTTACTTCTGGAGGTGAGAACTACAATTTTATTATTTATTTTATTTTTTCCTATAATTTATTTTGATGATATAATAAATAACCTAACCGCTTTTTTGCGATGTTTAAGTTTGCAAATAACGAAGATGAAATAATATGATAAAATAGGAGAATTGACACAGGATAACAAAATAATGAAATCTTAGCATCTAGTTTCGCTTAAACTTATTTCGGGATCGAGTTTTATGCTTGTAGTGTCTCATTGTTGTATTCTAATAAGTTGAGTTACACGTAATGACAGATATGAAACAGTTTTATCAAGGCTAATTCACAAACCTCTTCTCACTGTGCGTGTCGTAGTCGTTAGAAATATTGATTACCATTTTTCTATTATATAACGTATTTAATCGCAATCACATATTTTATTCTATGTAGTTATATATATATATATATATATATATATATATATATATATGTGTGTGTGTGTGTGTGTGTGTGTAATGCAGTTGGTATGTCATTATAAATAAATAAATGACAACCATTGGAATATACCAGCGTAAAATTGGCAGCTTGACACTGCTGTGTTTCGTATGGTGAGTACAGAGAACCGTAGACCCATTTTACTGGAAAAGATGCATTTCATCTTAGTCGTCACGGGTGACGACGCATCTGCATTTTGATTCTTCGTTGAGGATAGATGTAGATGTCTATGGGTCACAGCAACCACTTACCATCAGGTGGACTGTGTGCCCGTTTCTCACCCCATCCTATAAAAAATATGGAGAATTATGGAGGAGAGACCGCGCCGAGGCAAAGGTTTTGTGGGAGGCTCCCAGACTAGATGTAGCAGCGATGTATACAAGAAGGCTGCTGGTAGTGACGACTGGGCTACTTGGCGCGCTTGACAGAGGCTTGTGTCCAGCTGCGGACTGCCACGTGCTGGTGATGATGATGTATTCCACAACATCAGATTGGGTTTAATGCTCTATATTTTAAATAAAGTAAGCCTAAGGTCTGCGAGGAGAGCATTTGTGACGCGCGACATAATGTTACACAGGAGGGGGGAGTGTCCCCTAACCCTCGACACCACTCCTATCAAAAGTTAATACACTTTTCTTGAGAAAAATAAAAAAGAAAATACAATAGACCTAACGTCAAAATAATAACATTTATCGTCTCCAGCAGGGGAGGGGAAGGGAGGAGGAGGTTGTCTCCAATTACAACTGTACGGATTTCTGAGTGTTTAAGTATTTCTGGGTGGTAAAAAAGTAACCTCGAAGGCTGTGGTGGGAGTGAAGCACAGCGTAGTTACCGCCACAATCTTCTAGACTGCTCGTATAACAACTGAAAGTATTTCTGGGTGTTCAAGTATTTCAGGACACGATAAAAGTCCAATAATACACTAGAGATCACACATTCAAGCAAGAAGATCAACCAATGGCAAAAAGCATAAACATTAGTACGTCATGCGATTTGACACTTGACAGAGAGTATAGACCATGGAAGAACAAAAATATACATACCATTGAATTATAATAATGTGACACTAATCTTTAACATGGTCTTACGTCCTTGTCGCACTTACACAAACTTCTGTATTCTCTCCAGCTTTCACAGTAATATTTTTCGTTTTTCCATGTTTTACACATTTTAGGTAATAATCGTTTTTATTCAACCGACTAAAAAAAGGAGAAGGTTCTCAATTCGTCAGATCTTTTTTTATGTATGTTCACCGATTACTCAAAAACGCCTGAACCGATTTAGATTTAAATTAAATTCTTTTTTGGTTTCAAAGGATATACTTCCCAGATATTCGCTTATAAATTTGATTAAAATCTGATTAGTAGTTTTTGAGTTATACTTAATAATTTATATTGAAGTCGGTTGTACAATTTTTTTTTTATTTTATCACTTGTTATTTTCTCTAAAACGGTGCATTACCTTTTAATTCGAGTGGTATTGTTATAATCGGGGACCAAACATCTACCAAATAAAACACCTTACTCCCCCAAATTCCTGCAAAACGATTCTAAATCCAACCCACATTGTCCATTAACATTTAAAATTAAATTTATTTATAGCTAATAGATTTTTAATAATGAATAATTAGGTATTTAAATCGCAAAAAAAGACTTCTTACTAGGAATTGCCAACAAAATTTTGGTATACCTTCGGCGTCAACGCTTCCTACCATCCTCGCTTTTTATAACAGTAATAATTATATGTTTAGTACGAAAAAAATTAATAACTGACTTCAAAAAAATAACATGAATATAATTATCTAAATTGGTTGATGCGATGAACAACTGCATTGTAGCTGCTAATTGCAAATTGAAGAGTTTGACGATTTTGTCATATATCCTATTATAACATCTTAGCCAAATTTATATGAGATCACCCCTGGGTGCTTTATGACAAAAAAGGATCATTAAAATCGGACATTGTGGTCAAGAAAAGTCGTTAAATATACGAGTACATTTAAAAAAGTTCAGACGAATTTAGAACATCCTCCCTTTTTTGAAGTCAGTTGAAAAAGCTTTAGTATCCAGACATAGATACCAAAATAAACGAAGTGCGATCATTCAGAATCTCATAATTGAACTTGCATTTATAAAACCAGAAAATGTGACTTTTGAATGAAACAGACGTAATTTAAGCGAAATTTATCCAAACGTTTCATTATCCCTAGTAATTAATACATTTTTACTATCTAATCTTGAAATATCTGCTGGACACGAAAGCCTTGTTTAATGATGTTTTATATTCATGTTTTTATTTTTTATATTAACATATTGCTATCCCACCAAGCTTGATACTAATCATAAAGATAACAGCGGTACGCCCTCCAGGGTCCAACACGATGGTCTCATCCTTGGACACTCTGGACCCATTAACCGCAGTGCAGATGGAAAGCTTAGAGTACCAATCTAGTGAGCAACATTCGCACGATTATGAAGTACAAGAACCTGATACTGAAACTGAAAAATTGGTAAGTATAGATTCGGATACTTTAATATTCTGATCCGCCTGAAAACGAAATTATTTTTTAGGAAATTTTCAAATCCAGAACTAAAAAATTGTGTGCACATGTTTTGGAATACCATCCAGATTGTTATTTTGCATTTATTATGTTCAATTGTTTATGTTTTGATGTTATTCTGTTTTGTGTACCTAAATAAATAAATAAATAAATAAATTGTGTTATAAAAACTATATACGACTCGTTGAAGACGACGTCCCACTGTTAGCTCATACAATCGTTACCGCTGAACAAGCCTTATAAATTGCCTTATGATTGCAATAGTCGCCACGCTTGCCGGCGGGCAGGTAAAGGCTCGTCTAAACGGGCCATGTTTTCCGGCAATGTGTGGCTACAGGCAACATTGCTAGTGTGACAGCGCTGTCGTTGCGCCACTAGCGAAACACGTCGAAGTCTAAATCGCGCTAACAAAGTTCCGAAGTTAAAGCAGCATATATAGAATAGCTCCGAACTACCAATCGGAGCGGTGGTCGCTCCTCGGGCAGAACATCTTGCCCGGCGGGAGATCTCCCCTTTTCCTTCCACCCACCACAGTGGTGACCCCGACGTGATATGAACACGCAACCAACAACCTTCGGAAACTACAACTTCAAACACCTTCGTCATCATTCTTAAGTACCCCATTCATTCGCTCCCGAGCAGATATTGTCTGCAGTCTTCACATTCTGCAAGCCATCTCGCTTTACAAAGGTTCATCGCAGCACTGGAATAATAATGCTTCCTGTTCCTTCAAGCTACTCTCTGCGCTACAGTATTCGGCACGGCTCTGAGCCTTACTGCTCGCCTATGCTTCACGGCACTCTCGCAGATTACTTGCCTTCTTCTCGAATCACCGCAGACTACAAGGCAATCCCTGGCACTTGCAATCGGACTGCACCATCGACCTCCGGTCTGAGCAGGGGTGATGTGGCGGCGCTGTCGTCGCGCTACAAGCGAAACACGTCGAAGTCTAAATCGCGCTAACAAAGTTCCGAAGTTAAAGCAGCATATATAGAATAGCTCCGAACTACCACTCGGAGCGTTGGCCGCTCCCCGGGCAGAGCACCTTGCCCGGCGGGAGATATCCCCTTTTCCTTCCACCCGCCACACTAGCAATACCGGTCATACTATGCAATATTTTAAGTATGGCCCGGCAATTATTACCACATATTTTTGGTATGTCAAAACATTTTCATTTGTAGCAGTTGTGTGGCCGAACGGTCACATCGCAATCGAAAATACTGCAATGTTGCTGTACCATCTATATTATTGTTTCGTATTACTGTAAATGCGCATCCCTTTCTCCCTTTCAACGCGACTTGAAGTACGCTGCGTATCACTTTCTGCGCGACGTGAAGTATGCTGCGAAATTAATCGCATCGCGATAGTATAGATAGTATAGTTATCTGTGTTATCTTGGAGAAAAGTGTTATTTTCAAATAACCGTGACTGTCTTTACCAAAGGTATTAAAAATGTTTTTATCTATACAAATAAATAAAATTGAAGTTTCTGTTTGTAATGTCAAAATAACAGCTTTTCACTAATTGCATATGCATATATACGGTACTTATAACAAAACCACAATTTTTAAAATTTTTGTCTGTCTTGTTCCGGCTAATCTCCGAAACGGCTGGACCGATTTTGACGGGACATTCACTGTTAGATAGCTCATGTTACAAGGAGATACTTATATTTTTAGAAAATATTTAAGGTTCCGCACAACAAAACTAAAACCTTAAATTAGACGCGGTCGAAGTTGCGGGGAACAGCTAGTATTTTAATATATTTGATTGTGTGACCCATTTAGGAGTCAAAATCATTGGCCATACTATTACAGTTTACAGCAATATTGCAACGTGTAGCCTAGAAATTGCAGGCTGCACAATGTTTGCCAATAATTGCAGCCACACATTGCCGGAAAATATGGCCCGTTTGGACGAGCCTTAACTGTAGTTTTAATTACTTTAAGTTGTTATGAGGAAACTGCTGCCCATCTCATGTTTCATTACTCTCTGTCGCCTCTTACAACACGCACGGTGATATTGTCCACCTTTTATATATTTTTTCGACTGTTGTGATTCTATTTTGTGTGATTGTTGTCGACAAAACTTATCAAACACTCTCAGCCTTCATCAAAATTTTAGAAGTCCGCCTGGGTAAGTCTAAGTACCCTCTAATTTGTTTTGCCGCCAAAAACAAATGAGAGGGTACTTAGCAGTATTCAGTTCAACCGGAGGGTATAATTACTAAATTACTAATACACAGAGTACACGAGTAGCACGGGTTTGAGGTCAAATTTTAAGTGCTAATTTACCACGTTCTCGGCGGTAAAGAAAAACATCGTCTGGAAACCAGCATGTTTGAGACATTACATTTCAAGTGACGCTACCAACCGAGCAATATGCTCAATTTATTGTAAAAACGCGCACCTATGCACACATATGTGTCTAAATTCATTTGCAATCAACAACATAGTTTTAGGTGCATATGTGTGTGTCCAGATGTTAAAGAATCAAAGAAAAAAGAAAGATGAGCATGGCTTCAGCGTCACATTAAAATATACGCAGCGCTCCATATATCTTTTATTGTTGGTCCGAGTCAGCCGTCAACAGAACCTTGTAACGTCATACAATTTATTGTTGAAGTTTTGAGAATGACTTCATATACTGAAGACGTAAGTCTGGTTATGATTTATTGGTATGAACATGATCCATACACATATAAATATAATTGAAGTGTATGTCTGTAATATTGAAATAACTGGCTTCTATTAAACTCAGAGCGTTATTGAAATGCTATTAAGACATAAACAACCATTTTTTTTTAATTTTGTCTGTCTGTGTGTCCGGACTAATCTACGGAATGGCTGAATCGATTGTGATTAAGCTCTACGAACAGATAGCGAACAATTCCATGCGGCCTCTGGGCTATATTTTATCCGAAAGTTTGAAGTTTTTTTTAAAAATAAAAATCTTATAAAATAAATGGTCTTCAATTATCTAACAGATCCCTTCCAGGCGAAGCCAGGGATGATTGCTAGTTTTAAATAAAACACCTTATTTATCTTTCAGGCTACAGTTGATGATGGGCGTGCCCCAAAAGCGAAGGAGCGTACAATAATGTTCGACAGCACTGATACCCTTAGTGCTGTTAGTGGTGATAGTTCAATGAGAGAGGCTGCTGTTGAGGGTGCGGCGCCGACTTTCTATATTGGAGACACGCCTATAGTCAAAGGTATGGTATATTGTTGTTGACGACGTCGCCACTGAACCACAATTCCTAGTCCTCGTCCTAGAGACATCCATTCGTCCATTACAGCCTATAAAACTCCACAGCTGAACATACGACACTTTTTTTTGTTAAAAAACGTTCCGCCACGCTAGGATTTTTTCCTGTATTGTGGAGGCAGTTTACAAACATATATTGCACGAGGACAAACATCCAGGCCCAGAACAATTATTTGTAGGCCATACAAATACTTGTTCCGTGCGGGATTCGAACCCGCGGCCCCCAGCGCAACAACTCATTGCTAAGCCACTGCGCCACGGAGCCCACTCACCAAAAGATTGCCTTAGTGGCCACGCTTGGCAGGCATGTTGGCTTTATTAGTTTGACTTCTTCCCATCTTCTGTTTTAGATTCCTCTCTGTCGCCCCTTACGACACCCATGGCACGTTATGGAGTAGTGGATATTCTTACACCGCCACTACATGGTTTATAGTTATGCTGCAGCTTTTTAATGTTATAGCACGAATAGGTCGCCCCGACGTTTGAATGAGCACACTCTTACAAAATACCAGCGTAGAATAGCAGCTTAATGCTTCCATGTTCTGTATAGTGAGTGTGAAGAACCGGAAATCATCTTTACTGGAAATGGAGCATTCCATCTTGGCCCCCAATAATGACGATGAGGATAGATGTGGGAGTCTATGAGCCACAGCATTCACTTACCATCAGGTGGACTGTGTGCTCGTTTGTTACCCATATTCTATTATAAGTCCAGTATCAAGTACACAAATATAAAAATGGATTAAGAGTCTTTTTTTGTATCTCCCATGTCCACTGGGTACTAAACAAACCATAGTAATTTTAAATCTAAAGCTAGATGAGAAGTGTGACTTAGAATATAATCTGTGACAACTTTTCTACAAATATTTAAAAAAAAACAGAGAACTAACTGCTTCTGCATTGATGCGTACACTGTACACGCCTTTTTCTATAGAATAAGGGTGACAAACGAGCACACAGTCCGCCTGATGATAAGTGGTTGCCTGGCCCATAGACATCTACATCTATCTTCGTTTCCGAATTAAAATGCAGATGCGTTTTCAGCCGTGAGGACAAAGATAGTATGCCTCTTTTCCAGTAAAAAGGGTCTCCGGTTCTCTACACTCACCATACGAAACACAGCAGTATTAAGCTGCTATTTTACGCAGGTATTCTGTGAGAGCGTGGTCCTTCCCCGGTCGCACCGACCCATTCGTGCTACAACTACACTATTAGCTGCAGCATGACTCTACCACGTAGAAAATGTAATGCCTGCATACTAACGAAAGGATTAAATAAATTCCTGTAAAAGTTCGGAAGAATCTATTCAAAATCTTTCCAACTATTTTCTTATCTTTTAATGTATTTATGTCATGATTTTCAGGAGAGAAAAGGGAGGATGATGGTCGACTGCCAACTCTGTCGGAAAGCTGCCCGGCATCTCTACCACCAACTACACATCCCTCTCCACCAATCCCTGTTCAAAGAAGGTAATTGACCGACTTATTAGACAACACATATTTGTATTAAAAACTAGCTTTTATTTGTTAATCAATAAGATTTGTATTCATAATCATTTTCGTTACCGCTTATTACAATTTCTTGTTTTTTGTTTGTTCTTATTTTCATAATCACATACTAGTCCAACGATCGCTAAGGATGTGATGTAAAAACTAAACGTATTATGTTGTTATTGCAGCTGCTATTGTTTAAGTCACTCTCGAGAACAGACCGACAAATAGGTATACTATTTATATTGTAATGCTTTTTTATTATAGTTTGCGAACTGTTATTATGTAACTGGATCATATACATTACGCTGCTTCTTGTTAATTATGACTATATCACTTATATGTTAGGTTTTGGACGTTGATTTTGAATTGTATATAAATAGCTGAGAGTTGTATTTATAGCATGGAGTAATATTGAGTTTGAATGTGGAAACCTTGTCTAGAATGCAAAATATCATTTTTCAATTGAAATATTTTTATTTAGTTGAATTACGATAGTGAAAACCAAAGAACTAAAATTATCATGTATTCCTTCTCTTCGCGATTAGATAAGTTCTAGTTCTGGTGTGTTAGCGTGCTTTATCCCGTTATTATCCTTTCACAAAGCAAGGACCGTAGCCATTTATATACCATCGACTTTTTGCATATCCTTTAGCATAGCAACACAATTTACGGGGAAGGAGGAGTATCCTAAGCTCTGCTTACATGTAAAAACCTGCTTTGGTTGTCGGGTCCACCAGATATTTTATGACCGACCTATTGCCTCGTTAGCTCACAATCATAAGTTACCAAGACCAAATATCTAGACAGTGGAGATTGATACTTGAAACAAATTTATTGACGCATTGTTGCAAATTACTGCAACATACAACATAAAATTTACAAACAGGTTATTTCTAGGCATAGTTTCCACACGATAAACAATTTTAATATCATATAAAATTATACATAAAATGCTTCATGAAACTTTTCTTTTCAGGTCTCTCACGATGATTGCTAAGCCTCCTCAATCAAGCCTCGAAGAAGTTGCAAAGAAATAAAGCTTAAATTTAAATTTGTTACATCATATATTTTCGACATTTTAGTTTTCTTTTTGGTTGCGTATTGAAGTAATTTTAATTGTGAAATTTCCAGCTTAAAGCCTTAGCGATCGCACGATACGCTACTAGACAAAGTTAGAGGTTAAGATATTTAAAACCTTAAAATATTAGAAAAAAATCTAAAAAACTAAATACCTACAATCAAATCATTGCAAAGGTTTTGTATCTAGCCTACTAAAAATAGTATTAAACTCTAAAATACTCCATTCATAAAATTCAAAAATAAATTTCTTTGTAAGATTTAAATCTAGTCAATGTGATTATAGTATTGGAACATTTTTCTATAAACTATGACATATATTCATATGAATACATTTATATGAATGCAAAATTATTGGCGAACTCGACTAACCGTGAGTACAATTTGTATTGGATAGTTGACCATATATTGGATAGTATTTTGGTACTGGTTTTTGTTGTGACGCGTCGGCTTTTACACGATGCAAGTCCATGTTACTTCGAACTATTAAATTTCTAGATAGGCGCTTAGCTTATAATCGTTTTGAAATATAGCTTGGTCAAAATTTTAACGCTGTAGTATGTCTAAAATAATTTACTACAATTTTTTTTTAATCAATACTGAGTGAGTAGATACGACTTAAAATTTTTGATACTGGAATCATACATAAATAATTTGAATTTAGAATATTGTCTCTGTCCTACTTACATGTTCGAAACCGAATAAGAAAGTTGACCTAAGCAGGTTTCGAGTCTTGCACAATTTCTCAAATAAGTAGCTAGGTAGACTTATAAATGGATAGATTAAGGAACAACATGATCGCTACGACCAATTAATCAGACTGCTTAGGCTTTTATACTTCTAAAGTAAAAGGTGCAACAGATTAAATAATAAATAAATAAATATAACGCACTCAAATTTTCATTTAAACTGCACTTTTTTCGCGTTATTACACACTTTTTACACACACAAATCGTAAAATTTTATTTACACGTGTAACGCAATGTAAATTTAGTTACGTTGTGTAAAATAAATAATTTGAATTTTATGTGAACATACTCCACATTTCAAAATTCCATTTGTTTTCATAAACATACCGAATAAAAGAATGCGTGTATAATGTGTAATAATTTTCACTTTAATTATTTCATTTGAATAAACATTTCCTAAAAGCCTATTTATAATAAAATGTAGTGTAAACGATTAAAAAATAACCCACACCATGATTAATATCATTTTGCATAATGAACATCTTTTAGAATACGAAATTGCCATTATTGCTAATAAGCTTTAATAAACTATGCTTCGTCCATTCAAATAGTTGGTCGTAGACGAATTTGATAAAGGGATAGATAACGTTGAGATATGCTCACTTGTAATATGATATACACATGAGCGTGATAGAAGATGTATGAGTATGATATAACATGATACACCTGTGTTAACAATGTTGTAGAAAAAGTGGTATAAAAACGATAAACGAACCGCAAGTGGTATAAAATTTTGGTAGTGTTTTTTATGAATAGAGACTGACGGTGGTAAAATAAGACCTAGAAATGTAGGTCAGGTTAATTCAGCTAACTTCACGCTGATTTGGAAAAAGTTAGCCTCATATCAGCGTATTGGATCCCCGTATTTAAGTAACCATAATATGATACCATTGCTAGTGTATTTATATATAGTTAGATAATATTTTAAGGGTCGATGTGCTTAAACTGTCGGTGTTGAAAGGTGAACGCCAGCCTGCGAACGTTGCTACGCTGTATTAAGTTTCAAGAACGGTTAAGTTGCTCTGTTCTATTGTTTCACGTTGTATTTGTAATATTGCTGAATATTCTATCGATAAAACTAAATTACTATTGAATATTGATTAAAAATGCTATGTCTCATATTTAAACAAGGTCTTTTATTTAACAACCTTTATTTACATAAATTAAAATTAAGATATTAATTAAATCAACTAGATATTATGTGAGTTTTATTAAACTAACAGTGAAAAGTCTTCCATGAATATATCGGCGACAATGGGAGATACAGGTCAGCCTACCACCAATCCTTGCTAAATAACACCAATTCCTTCCAAGGACTGGGCTATTGAAATCAAAAAACATCCTAATTTCAATAGAGAAGATGATAGCTGGGTGCTACCATCTGCTTAGGGTACTATAATTAATAAAATCAAACCCAACCCCAAGCATACAACTGCAAGACTTCAATATACTATAAGTTCATACTGCGTAGAACGGAACAAAAATTTATAATTTTTAACTGGAGGTACCTGTAGTTCTTAACTATGGCATTGGGACCTCCCGTGACCTTGGGAAAAAAGTTCTCGAAACGTCGGGAATATAAAATAAGTAGATTGCTAATTAGTTGCTAAAAGAACTGATTTTGTAGCTCAAATCGGTCCGACTAAATCAAGTTACTGCTACCTTTATATTAAAATTATAGTACTTAAAATAATGAAATCAAGGAATGAGTCAATTATTGCTGAAAGTAGTGTAAAAAATAGGAAAGTCCAAAAATATTGGTAAGTAATAATTGGTCAGACCTAGAAAACCCAGTTTACATACTACCGTAGGACGAGGTTTTTGTAGGCGAAACGCATTTTGTAGAGAACATATTATGTGTACATATTATGACTTGCAACGAATATTCGGTTGTTATTCGATATTCGGCCTATTCGGCTACTTTTCTCCTATTCGGTGAATACCGAATATCTAGGTACTATTATAATCGAATACCGAATATTTAAGTAAGAGTTTTTAATTTGTAATCAGATAATTGGTTAAAAAAAGAATTGTCAGATAAATGTTTATGTACTCGAATTATCGTAATTAAAGTGGAAGATAATAAGGTGCAGAAAGACTAATTTTTCTGCATTTTCAAACAGTAGTTTACTCCTTTTCTTCTCGTGGAAAATCCCAGCTTCAGAGAAAAGACGCTTAAAGTAAACACTACTTCCTTCCCGGCCGAATACGTTTGCCAAATATTCGACTATTCGGCAAGGCCATACGCTGAATACGGAATATTCTGCGAACTTCCTGGCCGAATATACTATTCGTTGCAAGTTTAGTTATGTACAAAATTAAATTTACTTATTCTATCACATTTATAGATTTTGCTGCTAGTTAGAAAATAGGGATATCCCTTGCCAATCGAATAGAGGGTACTCGCTCTACAAACATCCCCTCAAGGCTGGAGTCCCACAGGGCTCCGTTCTCTCCCCACTTCTCTTCACACTGTTCACGAATCCCGAAGGTAGTGAATACTGTTCTTTTAGCCGAAGACTCGGCACTTTACGTCGCCCACTACAATAAAAGAATCCTCACCGAGATGCTTCAAACAGCAGTCAACCACTTAGGTGATTTTTTTTTTATAGGAGAGGGGGCAAACGAGCATGCGGCTCACCTGATGGTAAGTGACTACCGCCGCCCATGAACAACCGCAACACCAGGGGAATTGCAGATGCGTTGCCGGCCTTTTAAAAAGGGGTAGGCTCTTTTCTTGAAGGTCCCTAAGTCGTATCGGTCCGGAAAAATCGCTGGTGGTAAACTATTCCACAAGGAAGTTGTGCGAGGAAGAAAACATCTTCTAAATCGCACAGTGGTGGACCGCCAATCATCCAGATGGTGTGGATGGTATCGGGAGTTCTGCCGCGATGTGCGTTCGTGAAATTTGGCGGCTGGGATTAATCCGAACAATTCCTTAGAACCTTGAAACTGAGGAGATACGACAAAGGGGTTCCTTTTAGCGGTAAACGCGCAAACTTGTGTCTTCTGAGGATTAAACTGGACTAGATTTAGTCGCCCCCAATCCGAGACTTTGTCCAGCAAAGACTCGACTTCAGACACAAGTTTGTTCCGGTACTCGGTGACGTTTTCCCGAGAAATATTGGCACGGCCGGTGTAGAGAGCATCACCAGTGCTGTCATCCGCATAGCAATGAATGCTACCGGCTTGCAACATATCATTGATATGCAGAAGAAACAGCGTTGGTGATAGCACGCAGCCTTGTGGAACACCAGCGTTAATAGGCTTGTAGTCGGAGCATGCACCGTCTACAACGACCTTGATGCTCCGATCTGCAAGAAAGCTGGTGATCCAATTGCATAATTTCTCGGGAAGCCCATAGGAAGGGAGCTTCGAAAGATTGGTTCCGCTTATGGAGAATCGAAGTGAATCCCGAAAAAAGTGTAGCAATACACTTTCAAACCATGCCCACTCTCAACCGTCAAAACAAAAATTCCTAGGTATGATCACCCTGTACGGCCGTCAGATCCCCTGCCAATAAACGGCTAAATACCTAGGAGTCACATTTGACCACGGTATGACATTCACGAAACACATTCTCGATGTACGTAATCGTGCCAAATTCGTCACTAGTCGCCTCCACCCGCTAGTTAACATAAAGAGCCAACAGACCTAAGACGTAAAACCTATCATGTCTTACGTAAGCGTAGTTATTGCGCATGCGGCCCATAGACACTTGTATGACCTCCAAGTCATCCTAAATAGATTCATTCGCATAGCCACTGGAGCTCGGTGGTACCAGCGAAACGCCAACTTACAGAAACGGAAACTTTTTTATTCAATATAGATTATAAATAATACTTATTGAAAGTCACTCTTTTATTTAATTACCACTGGTTCGAAAAAACCTCTGTCCTGGGAAGAACCAGCAAGAAACCCAGCAGGACTTCTTTTTTTAAATAACAGCTTACAATCACAATTTATTAAACAATTAACAACACAAAAAACTAGAAATAGCTTGGTAGCGATCACCTCATTTCCAGGGGTTATTGTCATCCATAAATTCCTTAATATTATAATAACCCTTTTTATACAAACTTAGTTTAATAAAGTTTATGAACTTTGAGCAGGTCAAATTTTGTATATTTTCTGGAATATTGTTGTAAAAACGTATACATCGCCCCAAGAATGAGTTACTGACTCGATGGAGTCGAGTAACTGGTACTACT